GTGTGTTGTGAGCAAGACACGAGAAGTCATTCTTCCGCTCTACTCTGCGCTGGTTAGGCCTCAGCTGGAGTATTGTGTCCAGTTCTGGGCACCGCATTTCAAGAAAGATGTGGAGAAATTGGAGAGGGTCCAGAGAAAAGCAACAAGAATGATTAAAGGTCTTGAGAACATGACCTATGAAGGAAGGCTGAAAGAATTGGGTTTGTTTAGTTTGGAAAAGAGAAGACTGAGAGGGAACATGATAGCAGTTTTCAGGTATCTAAAAGGGTGTCATGAGGAGGAGGGAGAAAACTTGTTCACCTTAGTCTCTAAGAATAGAACAAGAAGCAATGGGCTTAAATTGCAGCAAGAGAGGTCTAGGTTGGACATTAGGAAAAAGTTCCTAACTGTCAGGGTGGTTAAACACTGGAATAAATTGCCTAGGGAGGTTGTGAAATCTCCATCTCTGGAGATATTTAAGAGTAGGTTAGATAAATGTCTATCAGGGATGGTCTAGACAGTATTTGGTCCTGCCATGCAGGCAGGGGACTGGACTCGATGACCTCTCGAGGTTCCTTCCAGTCCTAGAATCTATGAATCTATGCCAGCTATGACATAGCTGTATTTATTAACTAGCATTTCAAGTTCTTCCTGCTTATTCCCCATACTTCTCATATAAATTTACAGACATAAGATACTGATTTGATTTCCTCCCTGTGTTCTTTCTGGTCTTTCCCTTATTCCTGCTATAACGGCCCATGCTCCTCACAGACTCCGACCCTTCTTCCAGGTCTCCATGTTTTGGATTTACCTGTGGGCTTCTGTCACCTGCCCTCGTAGAACCTAGTTTAAAGCCCTTCTCACTAGGTTAGCCAGTCTGTATCCAAATAGGCTCTTCCCCTTCCTGAATAGGTGGATCCCATCTCTATCTCTGTTGATCAGTCCTTCTTCCTGGAACAGCATTCCGTGGTCAAGGAAGCCGAAGCCTTCCTGGTGACACCATCCTCGCAGCCAGGCATTCACCTCCAGGATGCATCTGTCTGTGCCTGGGCCCCTACCCTTGACCAGAAGGATCAAAGAGAACACCACCTGCACCCCCAACTCCTTCAGCCTCCTCCTAAAGCCCTGTAGTCACTGATGATCTGCTCAGGGTTGTACCTCCCAGTATCATTAGTGCCCACATGGATGAGTAGCAGGGAGTAGTAGTCAGAGGGCCGGATGATCCTCGACAATCTCTCCATAATGTCTTGGATACGGGCCCTAGCAGGCAGCATACCTCCTGGGATGCCATGTCAGGGTGACAGATGGGTGCCTCCATCCTCCTCAGAAGAGAGTCACCAACCACCACTACCCTACGTTTCCTCCTGGGAGTGGTGGTTGCGATCCTCCCAGCCTTGGGGGTACATGGCTTCTCCTTCTCTGCCTTTGGGGGTGATTTCTCATGGGTTGTTACCAGGGCAGCATAACAGTTCTTTATCATTATGGTGAGTGGGTTGGGAGAAGGGATGGAGCACTGCCTGCTGCCAGAAGTAACCAGCAGCCAGTGTCCTCCTTGTGACAGAGCCATGTCCTCCTCCTCCCCCGGTGGTGTGACAGCAGTTCTCTGTAGCTGGATAGCTTCCTCAGCCTTGGAGGTCTCCATATGAATACTCACAATGAATTCCTCATGGGCATGGATGCTCCTCAGCCTAGTCATCTCTTCCTGTAGCTCTCCCACCTGCTTCCTGAGAGATTCCACCAGCAGGCACCTTTCCCGCTGGATGGTCCCCCCAGCCTGACTCTCAGAGTGGGAAATGCAGGCCACAGGATCTGGGTAGAGGCATCCATGGCTAGGTTCTTGGTCTCAATACAGGTTCAGGTGGAGGAGACAGGAGCAGCGTTGGCACAGGCGAGGTGGCACTTCCTAACCATTATATTACAACTCCCTTTCAAACTCCCCTGTTCTCTAGCTCCCCTTGGTCGCTCAGCTTCTGGCTTTTAAGCCTTCTCTCCTAGGTCAGCCCTACCCCCTCATTAATCACACAGGGGATAGTGATCACAAGGCTGATTGAAGCTGATCAAGGATGATCCAGGGAACAAAGGCTCAAACAGTCCCCAGACCCACAATCCCAACTGACCCACTACCAATGGTGAAGGCACCCAGATGCTATAATATATAGCATATATAATGGGGCCATATTAAACACACTGGATAGATTTTGCAAAAAGAACAGGAGTACTTGTGGCACCTTAGAGACTAACCCACTCCTGTTCTTTTTGCGGATACAGACTAACATAGCGGCTACTCTGAAACCTGGGTAGATTTTGTTCTCCAAGTTGCTCCCATATATTTTGGAGGAGATGCACATGACATGCTCTCTCTCTCTCAAGGATACTTGACTTATGTTCTTTGTTGTTTTCCTAAATCTAAACCAAAATCCAACTTAGACTGCAAGCCAGCGGTAACTCTGCTCAGGGAATGGTGTTTTGGAGGGTGGCTGCTGATGCTGGCGGTTGAAATTCTGATCCTCTCTTAGGATGTGAAGTACATTGCCATCAGTGGGTTCTTATTCCTTCGCTTCTTCGCTCCTGCCATCTTGACACCAAAGCTGTTCAACCTCCGCGACCAGCATGCCGACACCCGGACCAGCCGCACACTTTTGCTACTGGCCAAGGTACCCAGCAGGGTGGAAGGGTGGGGGAGGAGGGAGGAACCTCTTGCTTTGTGCTGAGTTTTCATGCTGTTTGACTGTGAGGCATTGCGGTAACATGTCAGAGTGCCTCGGATAGCACTCTCTCTTAGTGGAGAAATCCACAGAGGGCAAAATAAGCCCAAATCTTGTGGGCAGGGTTCTCAGCTGGTGTGAATCAGCACTGGTTTCAGTGGAGCTATGCCAATTGGGAAGATCTGGCCAAGATGTCCCTTGTATCAAGTTGTGACTTGGTTCCAGCCTCTAAGGACCCTCGTGGAGAGAAGACTCCTGGATCCTTCATGGATTCTAAAGGGTTCTTTAATGTAGCAGAGAAAGAAGCAAGAACCAATAGCTGGAAGCTAAAGCCAACGTCACATTAGAAATTAGGCACCAATGTTTAACAATGAGGGCAGTTAACCATTGGAACAAACTGCCAAGGGAAGTGGTGGATCCTCCATCTCTGGCTGTCTTCGAATGCAGCCTCGCTGCCTCTCTGGCAGTGGCTTTAGCCAAACCCCCGTCCTGGGCTCAGGACAGGGGTAACTGGGTGAAATGTAAAGGCCTGTGATCTACAAGAGGGTAGACTCAATCCGATGGTCCCTTCTGACCCTAAATTCAATGACTCCCTTAAAAGAGGAACTCCTTGTGTCATACGAGCCATCATACCTGACACCGCCATATATAACCAGCCATCCAGCTGCAGATAAAGGCCTGGTCCAGCGCCCGTTCGGAACAAAGGAACGGCTGGGGTGGCCATTGGATTAGGCCACCAGAGCAGTTATCCAAATTGGGGGGGTGGGGGCAGAATGAGCCCTGCCTGGGTGCATGGGCAGAGAGGGTTTGCTGCAGCTGGCGTATTTCTTAGCATTCTGCAGATGCTTGTTTGCAGGGAGCCCTGGCCTGCTGGGTCTGTACTGGGGCCGGTACCCAGAGGGCTGACAGCTGGTCGCACTCACTGATCAGCGCACCTGTGGGGAAGGTGCAGCGATTAGATGTGGTGGTGATTTCTCGGTGGAAAGTGTTTTACATCTTTTGGGGCAGACCCTCAGCCGGTGTAAATTGGTGTCGCTCCACTGAACTCGGCTTGACAAAGCCCTGGCTGGGATGATTTAGCTGGGAATTGGTCCTGCTTTGAGCAGGGGGTTGGACTAGATGACCTCTTGAGGTCCCTTCCAACTCTGATATTCTATGATTCTATGATTCTATGAACTCACTGGAGTGGTGCTGCGCTGGGCCAGCCAAGGAGCTGACCCATTGTTTTTAATCACTGCATCGAGGTGGAAGAAAGAAGTGCTGTGCTTGGGAGGCCCAAGCCCCACTGCAATCTGGAGCTGCCCCACCCTGTGGGCTGGAGAAACCCCAGCGCTTGTCCCGGTGTTGTAAGGTCCAGTTGGGTTGACCTGGAGCTGAGCCGCCAACATGGACAGTGGGCTGAGTGAGCTCACGCGCACCTCAATCACCTGCCCTCCGTGAGGCCTCTCAGTAAGGACCCCCTGCCCCCAGGCCAGCTCCCTCTTACACACAGTCAAATCCACTCTGGGCTTGGCTGTGGCTGGCAGTTCGGCTGCACCAGTGCCACTGCATGCAGGTGGCTCTTCCCCCAGAGTGGGGGCTGGCACCCCCTCGTGCTGGATTGTGGCAGGGTGAGAGGTGGGGCAGGGGATGCTATCCAAGGCCAGACAGGCCCTTTGTGACTTTTGTCTCATCCAGGCCATATTACTTCCCCGCCATAACCCCAGATAGATCTTTTTAAACCACATCCAACTCTTGATCTAAAAATTGCAAGTGATGGAGAATCCACCCAACCTTCGATAAATTTTTCCCATGGTCAGTTACCCCAAGGACTGGGAGTGAATGTTCCAGAGAATGAAGGAAGGTGGCAGTGGGGACAGGGCTGCCCAGAGGATTCAGGGGGCCTGGGGTCTTCGGCGGCGGGGGTCCTTCCGCTCTAGGTCTTCGGGGCACTTCAGCCGCGGGTCCCGGAGCAAGTGAAGGACCCGCCGCCGAATTGCCACCAAAGACCCGGAGTGGAAAAAGCCCTCGCTGCTGAATTGCCGCCGAAAACTCTCGTGGGGGCCCCTGCGGGGCCCGGGGCCTGGGGCAAATTGCCCCACTTGCCCCCCTCTCTGGGCGGCCCTGAGCGGGGGTGGGGGAGATGTAGGGAGGGATGAGGGGGGAGGGTGATCTGAGGGAAAGGAGAGAGGAGAAGAAAAGATACAGTCTCCCACAGTATTCTTGCCAGCAAGTTAAAGAAGTATGGGCTGGATGAATGGACTATAAGGTGGATAGAAAGCTGGCTAGATCGTCGGGTTCAACAGGTAGTAATCAACGGCTAAACTGGGAGGAGTCGTAGATACGCTGGAGGGTAGAGATAGGATACAGAGGGACCTAGACAAATTAGAGGATTGGGCCAAAAGAAACCTGAAACTTTGTTTCCTATCTACAAATCTAAGTATATTATATCCACTGGATCCCCCTTAGAATCATAGACTCATAGAATATCAGAGTTGGAAGGGACCTCAAGAGGTCATCTAGTCCAACCCCCTGCTCAAAGCAGGACCAATTCCCAGCTAAATCATCCCAGCCAGGGCTTTGTCAAGCCGGGCCTTAAAAACCTCCAAGAAAGGAGACTCCACCACCTCACTAGGTAACGCATTCCAGTGTTTCACCACCCTCCTAGTGAAATAGTTTTTCCTGATATCCAACCTGGACCTCCCCCACTGCAACTTGAGACCATTGCTCCTTGTTCTGTCATCTGCCACCACTGAGAACAGCCGAGCTCCATCCTCTTTGGAACCCCCCTTCAGGTAGTTGAAGGCTGCTATCAAATCCCCCCTCATTCTTCTCTTCTGGAGACTAAACAATCCCAGTTCCCTCAGCCTCTCCTCATATCTCATGTGCTCCAGACCCCTAATCATTTTTGTTGCCCTCCGCTGGACTCTTTCCAATTTTTCCACATCCTTCTTGTAGTGTGGGGACCAAAACTGGACACAGTATTCCAGATGAGGCCTCACCAATGTCGAATAAAATGGTGGCAGATGACAGAACAAGGAGCAATGGTCTCAAGTTGCAGTGGGGGAGGTCCAGGTTGGATATCAGGAAAAACTATTTCACTAGGAGGGTGGTGAAACACTGGAATGCGTTACCTAGTGAGGTGGTGGAGTCTCCTTTCTTGGAGGTTTTTAAGGCCCGGCTTGACAAAGCCCTGGCTGGGATGATTTAGCTGGGAATTGGTCCTGCTTTGAGCAGGGGGTTGGACTAGATGACCTCTTGAGGTCCCTTCCAACTCTGATATTCTATGATTCTATGATTCTAAT